CCTGGAGCAGCCGCCACTGCAGCAGCCGCCCCTGGCCCCTGGAGCAGCCGCCCCTGCAGCAGCCGCCCCTGGCCCCTGGAGCAGCCGCCCCTGCAGCAGCCGACCCTGCAGCTGCCCGCGACGCCGCTCCTGGACCCTGTGCAGCCGTGGGGGGAGGGTATGGGGGTGGCGGGTGTGGGGGTTATTGTCAGAATATTATGCTCTAGCCTGTAGTGGGGTGCTCTATAGCGAGTACAACTCTTCTAGGGTTTTGCTATTTGTATCCCCATTCTTGCTAGTGCAATCCTCTTCTTTCTTCTAAACTTTAACATGCTATCAGAGCAGGTCGATCCCCTTGGATCGATCCTGTGGGTGGGCTCACCACCTTGTTGCTTCCGCTGCAACTGCTACTGCTACTCTCTGTGCCGCACGCCCCGTGGCGTGCGGCAGTTTTTCTTCCCGCCGTGCGCCCCGAGGCGCGCGGCGGTTTTCTGCCCGCCGTGCGCCCCGAGGCGCGCGGCGGTTTTCTGCCCGCCGTACGCCCCGAGGCGCGCGACGGGTTTCTGCCCCGTCACTCGCCGCGTCGCCCCCGGGAGGCGCTGCGACGGGCGACGGGGACCCGTCGCGCCGCCCAGGGGAGCCGCGCGCGGCCCCTGCTGCCCCGTCGCGCGGCCCTGCTGCCCCGTCGCGCTGCCCAGGGGAGCCGCGCGCGGCCCCTGCTGCCCCGTCGCGCGGCCCTGCTGCCCCGTCGCGCTGCCCAGGGGAGCCGTGCGCGGCCCCTGCTGCCCCGTCCCGGACCTGCCCCGGCCCCGACCTGCCCCGGCCCCGACCTGCCCCGGCCCAACTCCCGTCGCCCGTCGCGGCGCCCTGGGGGGGGTCTACAGGGGGCCGCGCGTTGCCCCCCCCCCCCCTACCTCCCTACCCTGTTTTTAGGGTTTGGGGGGTGGCGGTTGGGGGGTGGCGGTTGGGGGGTGGCGGGTGTGTGGCGTCGCCTGCTCCTCCTCCTCCTTCGTCTCCCACTGCTGCAGCTATCGCTGAGGGGGGTGGATGTGTGGGAGTGTACGGAGTGGTGCTAGGGGGGTGGAGTGTGAGTAGAGCTAGGGTTTGAACAGGGGGTGTGTGAAATGGGGGTGGGACAGTTGGGGGAGGTTGAATGGAGGCGGTCGTCGTGTCGTCAGCAGCAGCAGCAGTCCGGAGGCTACAATCTCCGGTAGTCGCCAGTCGCCCGTGGGTCCGTTGCTCGTCTGCCGCTACTTTTAGCCGCGGGGCCAGTTACCCCAGTAGTCCGGAGCGCTGTTCCGGTAGCCACTGAGCCAGCAGCTCGTCTGTGTGTCTGCAGCGTCAGCAGTCGCCTCCCATCTTCTCTCCCCCACAGTCTCTCCTCCTCCTCACTTGCCCTCTGTGATAGCCTCTAGCTTTGCTTATATTTGTTAACTATAAAACTGCTACCTCTTGTACTTGTGCTCAGAATGTGTGGTGACATTGTGATCCACCCTGAGCTTGTTTTCTTTTGCTTGCTCTGCTGATTACACCCCACTTTGGCTATGGGGGTGTGTCAGAATATTATGCTCTAGCCTGTAGTGGGGTGCTCTATAGCGAGTACAACTCTTCTAGGGTTTTGCTATTTGTATCCCCATTCTTGCTAGTGCAATCCTCTTCTTTCTTCTAAACTTTAACAGTTATGAGTGTGGGTGCTACCCTTCCCTTCCTCCTCCTTCTTCGTCTCCCACTGCTGCAGCTGCCGCTGAAGGGGGGTGGATGTGTGGCAGCTGAGGGGAGTGGAGCTAAGGGGGTGTCGTGGGAGTGGAGACAGGGGTGCAGCAAGGGGGTGTGTGAGAAGGGGGTGTGGGACTGTTAGGGGAGGTAGAGCGGAGGTCGCCGTCGTGTCGTCAGCAGCGCCAGTAGTCCGGAGCCCTCGTGCTCTCGGTAGCCCAGCGAGCCTGCTTCGCCAGTCGCCTGTGGGTCCGTTGCTCCTGCCGCTCGTCGTAGCCGCGGAGCCAGATACTCCCGTAGTCCGGTGCCCTCGTACGCTCGGTAGCCACTGTGCGCGCCGCTCCTGTTGCCCGTGTGACTGCGGCTTCACCTGTCACCTCCTATCTCCACTCCTCTCACAGTCCCTCCTCCTCCTCCTCCTCACTTCGCCTCTTCTTCTGCTGCGCCCTGCAGGGTGTACCACTTCAGGGGATGTTCTGTACATGGTTCTCACTGCAATCAATTAGGGGGTGTGTTGAACTATATTTATATATGTTCTTTATAATTGTCTGCAGTGTAGAGTGTAGCACATCCCAATTTGCTGTAGGTGGTGCACCATGCTTCTCCTTGCTATATCTTGTACTCATCTTTCTTAGTGAACTTCCTTCTTCTTGCTTCAACCCTCTCGACACCTCCTTCAACCCTAAAACCTAAGTTATTCCCTACTAAAGCTATGGCTCCTAAGCCTAGCTGTCCTTAGTGATTCTGACACGATTCGTGTAACTTGTCGCGCACGTTTCATGCCGCGTCGCATACGCAACCAAACACACATTTGTCGAACAACCCCCGAATCCGAAATCGGACCCTTGTTGAACAAGCAACCATTTTACTCCAATGTCCCCCCCAGTCAATCAGATTCTACTCCCATTTCATCCCTTCCACCGTCAATTCGACTCCTTCTCGCTAGCTTCTTCCAAACATCCTAGTTTCTCCCCATGCCGTAGTCTTCACGCCTTAGCCTCTTAAGAACTTCGTGGTATCTTCGTAGATCGTTTTCCACACGCCACCGCCTTAAAGTCGTCGTCGGTCAGAATTTCCACCGTTTCTTGAGTGTGGTTCCGCGAACCACTCCAACAACCTCCCCTGTGGTTCGTGAACCACACACTCCTCTAATTCTTGTAGTCTTCATACTCCCTTGCACCTCCTGAAGCTTGATCCCCGGATTTCTTGGCTTGTAATTGACCGCCTTGACGTCCAATCCGCGATAAAGACTCTCAAGCCTTGCACTCCTCATTGGCTGCATCTTTGCAGCTACTTTGACCTTCATTCCCTTCGCCACGCCAGGTCCTTTTTCAGCTTCAATTCCATCACACTCCACGCTTGCAGCTTCATTTTCAATGATGATCGTTGATGCACAAATGTTGACATGCATCTCCTCTTTCGCCTTCACTGCTTCCTCCACAAGCACATCCTTCTCCTTGGTGAATGTTCGTATTCACACTAGATGCCGTATCTCCATTGTCATCAACCCCAACCTCAATGAAGAATTTCGACTTCACCCCCACCTTATAAAACTCACCATCATCATACACCGTATCCATGTCATTCAATGCAATCAAGCTCATCTCATAAAATCCATCGTTGAAGTACCCATCCGCATATTTCTCCCACAATGGACCAAATACCGACACCTTACCGTCATCATAGAACACCTTGCACGCTAAATCATCAAGCTGTGATTGGCTAAAAAGATTTACCTTCAAGTCCTCAACAGGCAAAACATTCTCAAGTCTCATCCCACCGTAAAGACTCTGTAGCACCACATCACCTTGTCCCGTCACTGGAAGCTTCTCGTTGTTACCTTGTAAAAATGAATTCCTCGCTTGACTCTCTCATGTTCTCCACCAACTCCGACCTATATGTCATGTGACGTGTGCATCCGCTGTCCAAGAGCCATGCATCATTCTTACCACAATCCATCAGCTCGTTTACCTTAGGCACTCGCACCACGTTGGCACGGTGTGTACCTCCAAGAATGACATCTTCCTTCTCCACCTCTGCCACGTTTACCTTTGCAGCCACGCTCCTTGGCTGCGTTCCTTCGTAGCTCTTGCTATTCGGGTTGGAGAAGCAATCCGCGGCCTTATGTCCGTAGCGCCCGCAATAGTCGCATTTGCCGCCAAATCCGCGTTCATCCGCTCCTCCGTTATCTCCATGGTCGTTCTCCCCCGTTTTCCCTTTGTAGTTCTTGCTCCTCGGGTTCTCATAGCAGTTGATCGCCTTGTGCCCCCTCTTTGAGAAGTGGAAGCACGCTCCAAAGGCCTTCGTTGCATTCACCATAGCAGGCCTCTCGTCTTCGGTTTCCTTCAGCGCTTTCTTCTTCCTTATTTCCTTCACCGTCTCAAGGGATTGAAGAATCTCTTGCAACTTCATCAGGCTGTTTGGCGGTTGATACGTGAACATCCCAACGTCGGATTCATATTCCTTAGGAAGCCCTTCAATGATTTAGTCGATCATCGCTTGCTCCGACTCCGCGGCTCCCATCACCCGTAGGTCGTCATTATAGCTCCTTGCCCTGTTGATGTAGGTGATGATGTTCTCGCCCTTCTCCATGTTCAACATAATCAGTTGCTTCCTCACGGCCATTCTGCTAGTATCATTGGTGCCCATGTAGGTGGACTCCAAGTACTCCCACGCTCGTTGTGCCGAATTTAGCTCCCCTACAAATTGGTCCAAATCCACCGCAATAGTATCAGCAACCGAATTGCAAAGTTGAAAGAACGCTTTCTTACTTTGCTTCTTAAATAACACCACATTTTGCGGCGGATCCGTCTTAGGAGGTGGAACTCCTTCCTTCGTCTCTTCATCGGGACGAGAGAGCGGTAAGAGCTCAACCTCCTCTGCCCTTCGAATAAACTTCTTCCGCCACACATTGTAGTTGCTTCCCTTGAAGCGTTGGGCTTCACTGAGCCCGATCGTCGGCTTCATCACCACGCGGCCACTTGCAGCAAGGGCCTCGAGAAGATTCTTCAACTGCGGGTCTCCAAGACTCAAACTGGAACCCGAACTCGCCTCGTCCCCCATGGCGTAGGCGTGAAGAACTCCTTTTCTCCTCCGATTTCACTTAGCGACGAGTTGTGCGCGCCCGTTCTCCTCGACGAGTAGCGCACGCCCGTTCTCCAAGCTCTGATACCAGCTGTTGGTCCAGGATCGTAGCGCGGAAGCCTTATAATAGTCTTAAGAAAAACTGTAAAGAACTCTTACTAAAAGCCTTTGAAAGGCCTCTTAAAAGTATTCTGCAAGTCTTATTTGAGTCTCATGTGAGTCTCATGGCTCATTGGAGTCTCATGTGAGCTTTTATGCAAGCCTCATGGGAGCACTAAGTAAATGTTACCAGCAAGATTCGAACTTGAGTCTCCAACTTCACAATATCGAAATAGGATATGGTTCAACTGACAAACCCACAAGCTTTGTATCAAACTAACACACCCCAAAATGCGACTCGACGTGCGCGATTCGTGTAACCTGTCGCGCACGTTTCATGTCGCGTCGCACACGCAACCAAACACACATTCGTCGAACAACCCCCGAGTCCGAAATCGGACCCTTGTTGAACAAGCAACCATTTGACTCCAATGTTCCCCCCAGTCAAACAGATTCTACTCCCATTTCATCCCTTCCACCGTCAATTTGACTTCTTGCTAGCTTCTTCCAAACATCCTAGTTTCTTCCCATGCCGTAGACTTCACGCCTTAGCCTCTTAGGAACTTCGTAGTATCTTCGTAGATCATTTTCCACACGCCACCGCCTTAAAGTCGTCGTCGGTCCGAATTTCCACCGTTCTTGAGTGTGGTTCCGCGAACCACTCCAACAGACGGCAGAGCGCGATCGAGGCGAGGTCGATGAGGCATGCAGGGCCCCACTCTACGCGCACTCCACCTCCTTACTGCTCCTTCAACCTCCTCCTCTTCGCCTTCCCGCACGCTCTTTCCTCGCCGCCTTCCCGCCCCTCACCATGCACTGCGCCGGCCCCCCGCCACCGCTCTCCAACACCTTCCCCCCCGCGCCCGCCCTGCGCGCCATGCCAATGCCCTCCGCCCCCTCGCCTTGGCCTGCCTTTCCGTCACCCGCCCCTCGCAGCGTCGCGTGCAGCCCTTCCGCTGCCTCGCTTGCTGCGACCGCTGCTGCCCGTACTGCCGACCACGCCGCACGCCTCGAGAAGCACGCTTGTCGGCCGCTCTCGTGGCTCGCTGGCCACGACTCCCTACGCGCCGCTTCCCCCATACTACCGTACCTATCTGCACGTCACCTCCTTGCCCCGCGCGCGCCCTCCGCCACGAGCAGCAGCCCCCCCTACTCCGCGCGCTCATGCGTGGTGGGATCCGACTGGGGGAGCAATGCGGATAATGCTCAGGGGAGGGGCGGCCACGTGGGGAAGAAGGAGGTGGCGGACGTGGGGGGGATGGGAGGTGCAGCGATGAGGTGAAGCGTGCATGCGTGGCAGCGATGCGTGGGGCGGGAGAAGCGGAGAGAAGCAATGCAGGCGCACAGCACAGCGGTGGCGGCAGCACGAGCAGGAGGCACAGCAGTTGGCACGAGCAATGCAGGTGCTCGCAGCTGGTTGGCGTCCTGTGCCCTGTCATATGCACAGCGCGGACGCCACACCGACAACGTGCCCACGTCTGCACCTGATCCCCCACGTCGTCCTCGGGATACCACACCGAGGTCGGCTTCGCCAAAAACACCTGGGCGACTCTCTCGCGCACTCCGCAGTACTTCGTCGCTCGTGTAACTTGGTCGACCTGGCAACCAGGCGCCCAAGCCGGCGTCCAGGATGCCCAGGTCGGCATCTAGATGCCCAGGCCGGCGTCCAGGCGCCCAGACCGGCGTCCAGGACGCCCAGGTCGGCGTCCAGGCGCCTAGGACGCCGTCCAGGCGCCCAGGTTGGCGTTCCAGGCGCCCAGGACGCCGTCCAGGCGCCCAAGACAGCGTCTAAACGCCCAAGACGTCTTCTAGGCGCGCAGGACGGCGTCCAAATGCCCAGGACGCCGTCCAGGCGCCCAGGACGGCGTCCCCATTACAGCAGGTCGGATGCGCTCCCCGCAAACCCGACAACGAAGTCGGCTCCGACCAAGCGAAGACGGGGCCGACACACAACTCCCGTCGACACTCGCGACCCTGGGTTGCAGGAAATGTCACGTGAAGACCTTGATGCGCTGAGGGACAGGCTGAACCCGGAATTGCAGCGACATGAAACTGGCAGCACCCAACACCAGTTACTTCCCCAAACACCCACTACATAAACAGTCGTCGAGGAATTGAACAAAACTTTTGCAACTGCAGATGTTTTCGCCGATACCTCTCGGCCTGAAACCGAGAAGGACGAAAACACACTCAATGCTCTACTCGACGAGGGCGAAGGGCCTGCCGAGGGTGAGGAGCAGGACGAGGGTGAGGGCCATCCCGACGAATGCGAGCTAGCGGAAACTCCCGTTGAACTGCCTCGGGACGATCCAACCGAGGATGACTGTACTAAGAAGCGTAGGCAAACCGCCGATATCGCTGACCTCATAGGCGGCGATGGAGGAGCTCAAGCATCCGCATGTGTGAAAAAACCGAAGCCACCAGGTTAGTGACTTGGTGATTGGTGTTCATTACAAGTACTGCACTCCCCTGCTTCTACACCTCATCTCTCAAAATTCCTATTAACGCAATGTACTTATATTACTTTGGATGTAGCGTGAGCAATTCCTGTTGACGACCAGGTGGCACAGAACCGCGATAAGGAATGTACTATCGCGCATCAGGCTGACACAGTCGCGGCCCTCCGCTGGCAGCTGGAAGAGCAGACACAGGAGGATGCACGAATACGAGCAGTCGTTGCTGCTCGCCAGCCCAGCCGCCTGCCCCAGCAACGACCGGCAGTCCCGGCCTATCATCATCCAATAGCCAGACTACCGCAGCTGGTGTTGGTGTGCTTCACGCCACAGCACTGCGCAGCCCGTTGGCGACCATCAACGCCACTGGGCTCGCGATGGCACCAGTGGTGCGCGATGGTGCGCCCGCCTGTGCTCCGCGATGGTAAGTCTCTTTCCAGATTTTATTGTTCATGATTTCTTGGGTACCGAATCTTTGTTTCATATACACCCGCTCTCGTGCCTGCTTGACACATAGTGTTTCATCGTAACAACTTATGTTTTTTTTCACTGTCGTCGTGCGTGCAGCAAAGTGCAACGATCCAGTGAACTATTTCATTGCGTGTACTCCGGCGAGTGAGCAGTCCTTTTACCCCACCCATGCAAAGCTTAGGCGCAAGGTTCAAGAGCTGTACGAAGATGTCGGCATGCCTGCCGTATGATGGCCACAAGGTTCAAGAGCGTGATTAAATTCCGCTACAAAAAATGTCGGAGAGCCGGTGCAACATCTATTCGGCGAGCAAGCCATTCGCCCATGGCCCTGGTGGCTTTGTCAGTGAGAGAAAGTGGCACTGCTCGCGAGTGAGAACATTGCGCCCAATAGACGACGCACTGCCTCAGTGTGGCACGCATATTTTCGCGAGGGTGAGTTTGGCTTGTATTCAGGGAAGTAATTTACACTTCCTGCTGTCCGAGTAATCTAAATCTTTATTTTCGTGCCCGTGGCAGAGGTGTACGGCTCGAATTGGCACTGCGACGGATCTAGCTGCCCCTTCGCCAACCGCTCTTTCGAGCTTGTCTTGTGCAAGGGACTTGGCGGCAAGTGATGCAACAGGATCAATGTCAAGATCCCCGATGTCGCCACAATCCGCCACGTGGTATGTGTGTGAAGGTTCTCCCCCTCCAGATATGTAAACGTGTGAATGTATAAAACATATGAACTCATGCCGATGTGCTGCTCTGCAAGTGGAATGGCCCATGGCAAACCACAACGGCCGTGCCAACCCGTCCCTTGATGCATCTGACGAGAACAACAGGGCTGCAGTAGCTGCAAAAATCCTGGTCGTTGTTGCATGGATCAAGGCACTTCTAGAAGCATGTGAAGCCATCTACACCAACGAAGCCCCTGCATGGTTTGTCGAGGGCAGTGGTGCAGTCAAGATTCTTATTGAAGGTTTTGAGGCTGCTTTTGATGGGTTGATCCTCTAGTGCAAGCATCATTAGCAGTCTAGAGTAGTGAGTTAGTTGGGTTAGTGTAATGTAGTGTTAGTATCATGAGCAGCAACACAGGTGTACTAATTTGTTGTAACTGCTAACTGGAATAAATAGTCATTCCAATTCGTACTGGTGGAAATATCAATGGGAAATGTAGTAAATGTCAGTGCTGTACATAGTGGAAAACGACCCCCGCATACCTACAAATTATGTGGCAATTTATGGTGATTTATGACAAACATGAATTACAGGAAGACAATAAATATCGATTTACGGGGTTGCAATATGCAGGCATTTATTGGAATGCCTTTAACACCTATGAATGGCAGGCCAATTTTTGGGCAATCGCCCCCCATATACGGCCTTGAATAGCCGCTTCACTGTAGCTGTATACAACCATAAACAGCCATTCTGCTCAATATACAAGCGGGCAATTCATAGGCCATAAACGCCTACGAAGCAGCCTGTGTACAGCCCGTCAGTTCACAGCCATAAAGCTGCCATTTGCATGGCGAAAATGGCTGTAAATTGCCATTTTTAAGGCTGGCATTTTTTAGATGGCCGTTAGGCCTCACACCTCCACAAGCTCCAAAGTCGCTGCACCCACAAGCGGCATCACCACCCTCGTCGTCTCGCACCGTTCCTTCCTCCACCGGCACCTTCCTGCACCCCTTACAACCATGGACTCGCGCCGATCACGTCTCACCTGCAGCCACGGCCAGCAGCAGCCCCGGGATGTCGTCCACACATACGATGCTTCCGCCCAGTCCGCGTCAAGCTGACGGCAGCAGAGCCGGTGCTAAAACGCACGGTTCAGCCCCGCACACACCTTCTGTGCCGATTACCATTCCCTTGGCCAGCGTGCCCGATGTGACCGCCACAATTTCAAAGGGTGGGACGGCAGAGGCACCACGGGATGCACGCACGCAGACAGGAATGGCGGAGGCAAGCACTGCGTCTGGTGCTGCCTCGTCACCACTGCCAGGCGAAGCCAAGTGCGCGTATCGAGCCTGCAAGAAGAAACCTGAGAGGATGCGGAGTAAGAAGTTGGCCACGGTGGGCAAAGTGGAGGGTGTGGGCTCACATCCAGCGGTGGATGGCAATGCGGAGAAGATGGAAGGCGCGCGAGCGGTTGGATAAAGGATGCCATGGTGGGGACTGTAGGGCAGTGAGATGCTGTTGAATTGAGGCAGCTAGCAGTGGCAAGCCACCCACCACATGGTCGTGTGTGACTCACACGCGTCGCTCCTCCCCCCATCCCTCACCCACCAGGCACCCTCGCCAGTCTCATGCCCCCTCCAAGCGCGCGAGGCATCACCACCAGCCCACCGCCTGGTTCGTGTTATAAGAATGGAGAGCGAGCTGCTGTGCTTCATTGCTTCTCTCCACCACCTATCTACCCCCCCCCCCCCCCCCCACCCCCTCCGAACCATGCCTTCCCGCCATCTCTCACTGTCTCTTTGTTGCTGATTGCAGAGGTGGAGGTGGGGCAGACGCGTGTATTTTTTCAGTGGACGAGCGATCTTTGGAGCGGTCGCAAATAAGAGAGAAGTACATGAAGGGCATTTACACTGTGGACCTACATGACGTATTCAGATTGGCCGCCCTTCTTATCCTCGTTGATTATCGTCATGGTGAGCTCTACGATGGGAGAAAGTGGGGTGTGGCAAAAAGGGGCGGGGGAGGGGGGGGGGGGGGGGGGGTGGGGGGAGAGCTATAATTGGCAGCATAGAACGTTTTATGCCCTCGGGTGAATGTGTTGCCTCTGCCTCTCAGGTACGCCCTCCGCCCCTCAGGTACCACGCGATTCGTAGGCGTAGGCATCACTCAATGGAATCATACCACGCGGTGTTCTACAAAAAATTCTGTCCCAACTGTTGATTGAGAGGGTGGAGTTGCACTACAGGGAACTGGTACGTACATCACAAGGATTGTGTGTGACAGTTGAATATCCACCACTCGATTCATTTTTCTTGCAACATTCTCATGTGATATTGGTTTACCATGTAGTGATATGTTTCTTATTTTCTTCGATAAGCAAGTTCTACTATGTATCTTGTTGCGTCCACCTCTTCTCCTTGCTTCCCTGCCTCCCTTCCTCCCCTCCCCTTTCCTCTATTCCTCCTGCAACTCCTCCTTCCCATTCCTCCCCTCTGCTTTCCTCTCGAAATTTAACCCCTCCCCCCCCGTTTACTTCCCTCATTCGCCCATTTCCCTTCCCTCCCAACACCTTGCTCCCTCTTCCCACTCTTCTCATCCATACTCCCCTTCCTATCCCCCTCCTCATCCTCACCCCCCCCCTCTCTCTCCGCACCTTACAACCCCCCCTTCTTTCCCCCTCCGACTCTCCATCTCGCCTCGCCTCTCCCTTTTCGCCATTCCCTCCCACGCCCTCGCACTCCAAATCTCCTCCCTTCTCACTTTCTTCCCCAGATGCATCCCTCTCACTTGAACCGTTTCTTTCCCCGTCAACAATCCCTGTGGCTCCTTTGCTTTCCCCGTCAATCTCTGAGGCTCCTTTCCTTTCCTCGTCAATCTTTGGGGTTCCCTATAGTCTCTTGTTGCTGCATGCACCCTTCCCGTCCATCCATACCCTGCATGAGCTTGGTTTCTTCTCCCCAACCTCTCACGCCACATGTATGCTGCTCAATGGCTTCACCTTTTTCCTCTTTGCCTTAGGTTCTATGTCTGCATGCAGCTACACCTTCCCCACTCCGTCTTATGTCTCTCCCTTCTCCCTCTCGCCCCCTGGTTGTACCCAATCCACCTTCCTCATTCCGCCTTGTGTCTCTCCCTTCTCCCTCCTGCCCTTGGGCTCTGCCCGCACATTTCAACTCAGATTTATAAAAAAAAAAACAAAAACAAAAATTACGGAGCCTGTGTGATCTTCTAAACAGTGATTCTGTTTTCTATAAATCAAAGCTAAAAAAACATCTTCCCAAGGTGATGCCAGAAGATGTGCTGATCGGGAAACAATGAAGGAGTGAATTGAAGTTCTCACTGTGCTACGTATGCATGTTGGTGGTTGTTTTTATGTCACGCCCTGCAGGGAACGTCAAGAGCCAAGACACTCATTAATACTGTGTACCGCTTCCATACACAACGACACAACAGCTTGTTTGCCCTAATCAAATGAGATTGTTCCATGAGCAAGATAGAGGCTCCCCAGTCTTTTTCCCTGTACTCCTCCCCTTTCCACTCCCTCTCCCCCTCCCAATCCCCCTCTTCCTGCCACTGCCTTTGTTCCTGCCCTTGCCCTTGCCCCGCCCCTGCCCTTGCCCCTGCACCCCCTCCTGCCCCTCCCCATGCCCCTCCCCATGCCCCTCCCTCTACACCTCGTCCTGCCCCTCTCCCTGCCGCTCCCCTCCCCTCCCTTCCCTTCTCGCCCCTTCATACATATGCAGGTCCACTTTGTGGATAAGAAGATCAATGTATGCCTACGGAAATCATGTCATACCGACAAATCACTGGCACACTTCATATTGATACAAATCAACATAATGTATGAACCAAGTTTTCATTTCGCACCAACAAATGGGAGCAAATATGCCGTGACATTGACACACATAGGCGGCAACAGGTATAGCAAATACATTCTTCCCGACTTGTTCTCTTTGTGCTTATTGTATTTACGGGCCTCAAAAGTGGGCAAATTGGTCATAAAAAATAAAGCATATGGTAGAGCAATAGGGACTTCAAAGGAAGACAGTTTGGAGGGTAAAAGATGAAGAACTTTAGAACTTTTGCCGTTCAATTCTTCTTCCTCCCTTCCAGTTCCCCTCCATCTCCGTTATCCTGTTTCTTCCCAACAAGATCATGCCCTCTCCTTTGATTGAACTTCCTCTACCTCCCTTCCTCATCTCCTCCCCACCCAAGGCTCAAAATTGGTCTTAGGCCACCCTGCCTAATCACCGTCTCAGCCTGTCCCAACGTGATGGCCTAGGGTTCTGATACGCTGACAAATACAGGTAAAAAAAAAAAAAAAAAAAAAAAAAAAAAAAAAAGCCTGATTGATTCAGGGACAATTAGACATGAAAGTTTTTAGTGGCATAGAGACCGTCAGTTTGTGACTCAGTCAGTTAACGAATTTCTTCCGAATGGCAAGACAGCAGGTTCGAACTCTGATGTAGTCGAATAGTCTACGGAACGTATGCGCGTTTCTTCGAAACGGTACTAGTGTAATTCATATGTTACACTTTGTAGTCACGGAATAAAAACCACTACGCTGTTTTTGAAAGGGTAAAAAAGAATCCACTAATTTGAAGAAAGGGTAACTGTACGGTTAGCCTGCCTTGATCAAGGTAACTGAAAAAAGCGGCCCACAGAAAGGGCAAAAGGGGAAATTGTGAAATTTTAAAAAGAATTAAGAAGAAGGAGGGTTGCACTAGCAAGAATGAGGATACAAATAGCAAACCCTAGAAGGGTTGTACTCGCTATAGAGCACCCCACTACAGGCTAGAGCATAATATTCTGACACACCCCCATAGCCAAAGTGGGGTGTAATCAGCAGAGCAAGCACAGCAGTACAAGCTCAGGGTGGATCACAATGTCACCACACATTCTGAGCACAAGTTCAAGAAGCAATAGTTTAAAGTTCACAATTATGAGCAAAGCTAGAGGCTATCGCAGAGGGCAAGTGAGGAGGAGGAGAGACTGTGAGGGAAGAGAAGATAGGAGGCGACTGCTGACGCTGCAGACACACAGACGAGCTGCTGGCTCAGTGGCTACCGGAACAACGCTCCGGACTACTGGGGTAACTGGCCCCGCGGCTAAAAGTAGCGGCAGACGAGCAACGGACCCACGGGCGACTGGCGACTACCGGAGATTGTAGCCTCCGGACTGCTGCTGCTGCTGACGACAAGACTGCTGCCTCCACTCGACCTCCCCCAAACAGTACCACCCCTCCTGACACACACCCGCTGCTACACCGCTAGCTCCACTCCCCCTTCACCCCCCCTTAGCACCACTCCAACGGCTCCAACAAGTCCACCCCCCCCTCAGCGGCAGCTGCAGCACAGGGAGACGGAGGAGGAGGAGGAGCAGGGAACGGCACACAGTAGTTTCACCCCCATACCCCTCACCCCCAAACCCTAATTCAGGAGAACGGGCTGTAGGAGGGGTGGGGCGCCAGCAGAAGCACGGGGGACAGCGGGGAGGGCAGGGGCAGCGAGGAAAGGGCCGCCCACGGGCCTGGCACAGCCTCTCGAACCGCGCGCAGGCGGCCCGAGCCGCGCGCGGGCCTGGCGCAGCCCGTACGGGCCGCGCGCGGGCCTGGCGCAGCCCGTACGGGCCGCGCGCGGGCCTGGCGCAGCCCGTACGGGCCGCGCGCGGGCCTGGCGCAGCCCGTACGGGCCGCGCGCCGGCTGTACGGGCCGCGCGCAGGCCACGACGGGCGACGGGGGGCGACGCGCGGGTCCCCGTCGCCCGTCGCAGCGCCTCCCGAGGGCGACGCGGCGAGTGACGGGGTAGAAGCCCGCCGCGCGCCTCGGGGCGCACAGCGGGCAGAGAACCGCCGCGCGCCACGGGGCGCACGGCGGGCAGAAAACCGCCGCGCGCCTCGGGGCGCACGGCGGGAAGAAAAACTGCCGCACGCCACGGGGCGTGCGGCACAGAAGGTAGTAGTGGAAGTTGCAGCGGAAGCAACGAGGTGGTGAGCCCACCCACAGGATCGATCCAAGGGGATCGACCTGCTCTAATACCATGTGAAATTTTAAAAAGAATTAAGAAGAAGGAGGGTTGCACTAGCAAGAATGAGGATACAAATAGCAAACCCTAGAAGGGTTGTACTCGCTATAGAGCACCCCACTACAGGCTAGAGCATAATATTCTGACAGTAATTTACATTGATATTCTGGGCCCTGTTCCCCCCCCCCCCCCCTCGCCCCTCCCGCGGGCTTACCTGCTGCTCCCTTGTCCCTCGTTTCCCCAACAGGTTTCTGCGCCTCCCACTGTGCCTCTCGCCCCTCCCACTGACCTTCCCACCCCCTTTACGGAGGCTCCCACCTCCTTTACCGAGCTGTCTGTCTCTCGTACCGAGCCCCCCGCCCTTTTACCCAGCCTCCTGCGACCGAAGGGGATGGGAGACCGCAGTTAGAGCAGGATGGGAGAGGGGTCGACGAAGAGGAGGGAGGAGGGGATGAAGAGGAGGAAGGAATAGGGGCGAAAGAGAAGGAAAGAGGACAGAAAGAGGAGGGGGGAAAAGGGGTGGAAGAGGTGAGGAGCAAGAAAGAAGATGATGAGGGGAAAGGGGGGCGGGTGGAGAATGGGAGAGGGGAGGAAGGGGAGGAGGGGAGACGTCAGGAAGCGGTTGAAGGGGGAGTGGGGCGAGAAGTGGAAGGGAGTAGGGAGGAAGTGGAAGGGGGAAGAGGAAAAAAAAAGAGGTGGAGGGTACAGGGGCTAAAGTGGAGGGACGAGGGGAGAAAGAGGGGGAGGGAAGAGGGGGTAAAGAGGAAAAGCGAAAGGGGCAGGCAGTCGAGGAGGGGAAAGCTGGAAAAGAGGAGAGGGGAATGTCGAATAAGGAGGGGAGAGGAGAGGATGAAGGGGAGGGGAGAGGGGAGAAAGGACAGGAGGAGAGAGGGCAGGATGCGGTTGAGGGTAGCGAGGAGGACAAGGAGGTGATGGGTGGGGAAGACAAGGTGGTAGGGAGCGAAGGGGACAGGAGGTCGAGGGTGGGGAGGACAGGGAGGTAAAGAGCGGGGAGGGCAAGGAGGTTGGGGGAAGGGAGGACAAGGAGGTGACAGGTGGGGAAGACAAGGTAGTAGGGAGTGAGGAGGACAGGGAGGTAGGGGGTGGGGAGGACAAGGAGGTTGGGGGCGGGGAGGGCAAGGAGGTTGGGTAAGGGAGGGAGAGGAGACGGCGAAGGCAAATCAGAATTCAATTGCGTGGGGAGATCGGATTCTTGTCAAGAGGGGTCGGCATACGATTTCAACCGTTGCATGGAAGATGGGACGGGTGTAGAGGTTGTGGGTGGGGGCCGTGGTAGAGTGGGATCGTACAGAGCAATGGCACGCACTGGCACCATGGAGCCATGTACTGGTGCAGCGATTGGAGCGAGTCGTGAGACGGGAGGAGATCGGCTGGATGAGGTAGTGAGGAATTTAGGGGTGGTGGTGATCGATAAGTTCTCTAAAATGGGACACTTCATCCCGACCAACGCCACAGCTACTACTGAAGCAACTGTTCGCCTCTTCTTCGACCGCATCATCACCATCCACGGCATCCCCACTACACTCATCTCAGAAAGGGACCCAGATTTCACTAGCTTGTTCTGGAGGGAACTCATGGGATTGTTGGGGACAAAGCTTGCGATGTCTTCAGAGTATCACCCCCAGACTGACGAACAGACAGAGCGACTCAATCAGGTGGTTGAACGGTTACTGCGCACAGCTTGCAAAGATGACATCAGCCATTGGGATCTACAATTACCGATGCTTGAGTTCCCTTATAACAACGCTTCACATGCGGACATGGAAATCTCTTTTCTTCCTTTGCTACGGACGGGAACCACTCACACCACACTAGCCAACCATACCGGCACACGTCCAAGCCGCACACGACTTTGTCACCACCATGCAGTAGCTATGGGAGAAGACTCAGCGACATCTCACCACGATGCAGAACTTCCAAAAGCAGTATGCCGATCGACAGCGACGAGATCACTCGGTAGCAGTCGGAGATCTGGTGCTTCTTGACACACGCAACTTGGACCTCTCCCATCTTACGTCCCATCTCCGGCCTCGCTTCTATGGTCCCTTTTGCGTTGAGGCGATGGTGATACCAGTAACATTTCGCTTGCGCTTACGTATCACGTCGAAGCTTTACAACGCTTTCCATGTTCAGCTACAGAAGTCCTACAAGGTTCCAGGGACGATAGCTACCATCAGCACCACCTGTTCTCATACATGATGAACCAGGGTACGAGGTGGAACGAGTGTTCGCTCATCGACGCAGGCGCGGCAATACATTCGAGTTTCTAATACGCTGTAAGGGATATGACCCGTCGGAGGACAGTTGGGTTGCAGAAGCTGATATGGACAATGCACGCCGCGCTCTGAAGGATTATCTTGTCAAGCAGGGTGTATCTCACACCACCCAGTTTTTAGGGGAGGATGTGTGAGAGTACGACAGCTAGCCTCACCATTATTAACCTTAATATGCTTTACTTTGCTCGCTTTTTTTTCTTATGCATGCTTTTGCTCGTTTCTCTTAAAAACGGCGCTTACTATACTTTATTATAGTTATAGCACCGTTCTAGGTTGCGTGCACCGATTTCTAGGCTTTTCGGTTGCCACCAAATTGCCTTCTACTGAATTCGTGAAGGACCCGTACGGGATGCTTCACGACCCGCGAAACCTTCTAGTAACACCCGGGTTACTGCCTTTGTGTCAAGCCTATATATAGCCTCGTGTTGTACCGAGGTGATCGTATTAAAATTTATGAACCAGTTCCTTTGATCATCACACTTGCAGATCAAGATGGAAGACAACTCGATCCACACGTTCCGTACCAGATACGGCTCCTACGAATATATAGTGATGTCGTTCGGACCATGCAACGCACCGGCAAAGTTCCAGGCGGAGATGAATCACATCCTACGGCCCCTTTACGATATACTGATCTACACCAAGAACGTGAAGGAGTGTTGGTGCAACCCCATGGTTCGCACTCGGCTTGTTGTCCTTGTGCGCGTGTGTGCATGGAATGGTATGAAGTTAATATATATTTCATGCATATAATAGTGTGTTATTGATGAGTAATGATGTCGAATGCGTATGTCGAGTCAATAGTGAGTTATCGTTAGTCGTGTGTCACGTCGTAGTTTGCGTGTCGTGTGTGTTTTCTCTTTTGCTCGGGGCATTGAATCTGCTCTGCGCGCCTCACCAAACCCCTCAATTGTCGCCTAGTTTCGTCCCTCCCACCTTCCATCTCGCACTTCCCTCACTTATTTCTCGCCAGCCCTCTTCTTGTCACCCTTTCCTTCCACCTCACACACCCCTCCCACCCAACCGCAACCTTCACCAGCCCCACCCCACACCCCTCGAATCCCTCCCCTCCCTCACCCCTCTTCCTCGCCAGATTAGCTATGTACTCCGCTATTGCTTTTATATTTTTAGGGGAGCGGCATGCCACACTTCTCCCGCCTTCCCCCTCTTTTCCCATTCCCTTTTTCAATCCTCACAGGCCATTGAAACGAGCAGCACTGGGTGCCAGTGCAGGGGGGGGAACGTGTCCCATGGAGGGCGCATCTGGAGAAGGTGGCAACTGCCCGGCGTCCTTTGACGGGGTGAACGAGCGCCTCTTTCTGGCGGAGCGAGGAATCCTGGACGGGCATGGCATCGGGCCTCAGTACACGTGGTTCAAGCACCTGGTGGGTGGGACGGTCGTGGTATAACATTCTGTACGGGTGGCTGACTGAGTGTCGATGGGTTTGCTGTGCTGCATGCAAATTGCACTCAAGTGTGGATCACGGGAGTTGGAGGGGTTGAATGATTGTCTGTCGAGCGGGGGTTTCTAGATGGGCATGGCATCGGGCCTCAATACAAGTGGTTCAAGCACCTGGTGGGTGGAAGAATGATGCTACTGTGAGGCGGGTTATTGGTGTGACATGCATGTGGAGTGCGGTGGAGTGCGGTAAGTCCACAACGGACCGTACTACACGTGGTTCAAACACCTGGTGCTTGGGAGGGAAGACTCACGGTGTGAGGCAGTGAAGGGGTGGATGGGTGTGGGTGGGTGTGTTGTGGTACAACGCAGTTGAAAGGGTTGAGTGGGCGTCCGTTTCTGGCAAAGAGGGGGTTCCTGGCCGGGCAAGGTATTGGATCGCACTACACTTGATTCAGGCAGCCATCTGGTGGGTGGGAGGGAAGAGGCACGGTGTGAGGTAGAGTGTGAGGGTGGGTGAGCTTTAAAGCACGTCAAGCACCTCTTGTCGAAACGACCTGATCATATTCTGATCAATTCAGTGCCTCGAAAGTGGTCCGAGGATGGAACTGTGAGGTGCGGTAGATGCTTCAAACGGCGGTATGCTCGTGGCGGCATGTGTGTGGAATGGTGTATTGTTCACCACACATGGTGTACCATACATGGTGTGAAGTTTGTGCGCGTGCGTGCGTGCGTGTTTTGTTTTGCTTTGCTTTGCTTTGTTTTTTTCTCTCAAAAGTGACTCAGATGCGGTCTACATAATGATTATAAACACTCCCTAATCCAGTTTCAGAAAGTCGCCGATCTCCTTTCTTTTCCCAACCAGCCAGGCGCATTGGCCCAAGGAGAATGACAGCGACATGGTGTGTGTATGGTGTAGACGCTGCCGGGTCCAAGTTCAATAAAAATGTAAACCAAGGTGTGCTCCTTGAAACCCATCATCAAGACTCATCTTGAATCTCCTTTCCTTTCTCAACACTCCCCTGGCAGGTGTACGGCCCTGATAAGGACAACGTCTATGCCACGTCAGTATTTTCAGGCATCCGTGATGCCATTGCTGATGTCATCAAGAGCAGTGCCTCTAAGGGAAATCTCGAGGATGGGGCGGGTGGTGCTGTGAAGGGGAGAAGGAGTAGTGAGGGTGGGGAGAAGTGGAGTGCGGTGCAGCATGAGATTTTCCGGGCGGCATGGGCAATTGAGAGGGCAGCGAAGATCCTCAAGGGGCAGCTGCTGTGAGTTGGGATGTGCAGTACGGTGCTGTGAGATGGTGTGCAGTGTTGTGAAATGGTGGAGCTGTGTCACAACGTGCACAACGTGGTTCGTGGACCATCGTGGTTCTTGGACCGTGGCGCAACGTGGTTCGTGGACCGTGGCACAACGTGCCGTGGAGCGTGGCACAGTGCAGTGGAGCATGGCACAGAGTGCAGTAGAGCGTGGCACAGCGTGCAGTAGAGCGTGGTGCAGGGCCTGCTCTTGGTGCTCACACATACTTCGCCATGCTAGTATTAGAGCCTCCTGTGCTCTATGGTGCAGGGTAAAGGGCGTCGACAGTGCTTCCACACAAGCACTGCCATGGATAATGGTTGGTGATGGTGGGGGATGGTGGTGATGGTATAGTTGGTGGTGGAGATTTTATAATGGTGGTGATTGTGGTGAACGGGTTTGTTTTTTTATGATGTTTGTCCACACAGGTATGTGCACAGTGGCATGTGTATGTGTATATTGCTCAATGCAGTTGCATCAACAATCAGCAACAAGGGCCACACTCGTGCAAGCCTAAGACTTCAACAGCATCTGTGTCACGCCCTTGGAGCTGATTCTTGATGCGCTACACCTAACATCGTCTCTCTGCTACAAACTATTCCCTCCTCAGAGATGAGGCACGGCACGCCATTACACCGGCGCGCATCCAAGGTTGATGACAATGCTACCCCTGGTGAAGAACAGGAAGTCAGGCAATGATACAAGAGGACAAAAAGAAACACACAAATGTTAAGAAAAACATGTAACCGAAGTGAGGAAGTTGTTAGAATACTCCTTCAGTACTAGGAAAGTGTTGGGTGTGAGAATTTACCGATTGGTGTGCATGTTGAAAGCCTTGGAGTTGGAGTAGGCCCAGATCATGTTGTTGCTACCCGTGTAGCTGACCGGACTCAGAACACCCTTGCCCGAGCGAGTGAACCTGAAATAAAAGTAACACATCATAGCACGTTAATAATTCTGAGGAAAGTGCAATGCATTTCGGTCCCGCGGCGGGAACAGATGGAACTCACTTCACAATCTTGCCACCATCTGCAGTGGTAACCACCGATTTTGCAGAGAGCTTCAGCGCTGCTGAGGTTGACTTCTTGATCATATTAAAGGCCAAGGTCTTGCCCTTCATAGTGTAGGCCACAATGGTGTTTGGTGCTTTCAGATTCCCCACCACCGCATCGGCAGGAGCCATGAGGCCGGCTTTCTACGTCCAGCCAATGGACATCCAGCCCGTCTCGGCGCCGCTGCCGTGCTTCGCCTCGAGGGCAGCGATGATTCCGTCGTTCTTCGCGGTGATGTTCCAGTGTAGGAGAAACAATCTGGCGGGGAGAGCATGGGAGAAAGGGAGTGAGACATTTATCTAGGCGCCTGAATGATCATTAGAAAGAACGGGAGTACTTAAGGGAGAAAAACTGATTCGAAACAGTCACATACCCGTCAGGTGTCAGTTGAACAGATTTGGCGTATGGCGCGAGAGTCGACTTGGTGCAGGCGGCTGCTGCGGGATTAACAGCCGCCGTGCCAGCGTAGTGTCGCGCCAAAGCGCTGCTAGTTATGGCGAGGATCAGAATGGCGAGCGACTTCGCGAGGAAGGAAAGCCGGGCCATTATAATAAATTCTATGCAAGAAGGAAACGAGAGGCGAAGATGTTGGAGGTCACGGTGTGATGAGCTGAGATGCTGAGATTGTTTGATGAGATGACTGTCGGCCTAGTAGTAATACGCGTTTGGGAAGCTTGTTCCTCAGCGTTGGCTTGGGATGTGAGTGCGAATTCACAAGACGCGACTTCATCAAATCCGCGTTTCGTCGCCAAACGAGAATTCACCGAACCATTACTCAAATGTTTTCTTCAACATCATCACCGTTCCCCGCACCTTCAAACCGATCAGTGCGATCAACCAGCACGCACATTTGATTCTGGGCACCGACCGAGCCCAGCCTCACTGCGGCGCGTTTCCGCTACCCAGAAGAGGCTTCACAGAATGACACGTCACTTGGCACGTGATCAGACATGCGCTGTCACCGAACCACTTGCCCTTGCTGTACACCTGGTCGCGTTCCACTAGTTTCAACGTGCGTCGTGTTCGCTGACGTGGCTTGGGTGGACCCTCCGCACCACATGCCAAAATCACCAGCAATAACCTTCACCGACAAGCCGCCCAAGTTTAGCCTCGTTATTATCGACTGTAATATTTGACCGCGTTTTATATTCATATGAGACCCACACTTTTATAGCATTTCGCATTAACACAAAATGCCGACATATCCACAAAATATGATTGGCACGATAGCATGACTATCAGTGATTTTTTTATTGTGTTTATTTCACTTTTACCGTGATGAGACCGGTCTCGGTTGGCGGAGGAAATATAGTTTTTCCGCCATAGCGATGTCGTTGAATATGGTGACATTGCAGAATAAGATTTCTTGCGCGATGTCGTGTTTCAAGCCGCCGACATATAGCGGTCGTTGCGTTCAGCTTCGTGCATGTACCTCACCTGCTCGCAGAATGCAAAAAATCCGTTGGTGTAGTCTTGGACAACCAAGTTGGCGCCAAGTGCGGAGCTTCTGACATGCTAAGATCGACGCCGCAATTGTCTCGAATCTCCTGCGTAGACATGCGCACCACGCGTCCCACATGCGATACTCGGTTACCTTCTCGAAACATGACGGCGCTCAAGGTCCAATTGGGCCTTCTCGTGGTGGTGGTACCTCGTAGGCGCTCGGGTTCGTTACAATGATGCTCATTTAATCCAAGGCGGGTCCTTGCAGCAATGACACGGCGTAGCGAATCTTCTACGCGCCTGACGAGACATAGTTCGCATAAAAAAGCGCGTTCATCATGAAGATCCACGCTAGAACCGTAGGACCACCGCATTGACTTGGGTCGAAACACGGCGGACGCTGTGGCTTGAGTGACATCGGCGATGGGATCGCCAATTCGTCGTTTGGTGTCGTGATGTGGATGTGTCGCTGGGCTCCTGCCGCATTCATTGCCTCGAGGTGTGCCGTTCCGTGGTCGTCGCGCGCTTCTTCCCGGACGATGCCGTCACTAGCAGTGCTCCAGCATTGTGCCACGCTCTTGAGCCAGGATGCGGATGGTGTTGCCTATGTTGGTGTTGTCTGTGTCTGCGTCCGTGTATGTGCTTGCGCCTGGTTGATGTCGTGTTAGGGTTACTCGCTTTCCACCATCAGCGTCGTGATTTCTTCGATGCTTTCGCGCAAATGGCGCGTCAGCTCGTCCAGGTGTTCCTGCGTAAGGTTGGTAAGATCAATCCGGCCCCCCATGTCCAAAGGGTGTCGGCCGGCTTAGGTGCTAGGCACAGTTGTGGCTGCATACGCTCGCGAGAGAGCGAGAGGATAGCGGCTCCTAGTACGATAAGGGGCGTGAAAGAAAAATAAATACTATTTTTTGTTGGTTGCGGAAATGCACGGTCCGAAAACAAAGTGGCTCTGGTAGCAAAGTGCTATTGCTGTAGTTGTGAGGATCTAGGATCGAGCTTAGAAAAGAGAGTTTGAATTGAATGAATCACTTGGGTACAACACGAGGCTATATATAGGCTCGACACAAGGCCCAGTAATCAGGTGTTACGCGAAGGTTCCGAGGGTCGCGAAGCGTCCCGAACAGAACCTTCCCGAATTCGGTAGAAGGCAATTCAGTGGCAACCGAAAAGCTCATAATTTGGTGTACGCAACCTAGCTCGGTGCTAGGAAATATAGGAAAGCACCCAGCCTAGGAAATCAAGCAATTCATGCATGCATAAAATAAACCTATGCTAGAAATAGCATAATAAAGCAAAGGCAAGCAAGCATAGCTGGCATAAGCCGTCGTATACCCACACGTCCCCCCCTCAAAGCTGGGTGGCGTGAGATACACCCTACTTCACAAGATAGTCATTGAGAGCACGGTGTGCGTTGCCCATATCAGCTTCTGCAACCCGACTGTCCTCAGTGGGGTCATTTCCCTTCCAGCGGATCAAAAACTCGAGGGTCCTGCCGCCGCGGCGCCGACGAGTGAGAACGCGCTCGATCTCGTATTCTGGTTCATCCTGTACGAGTACAGGTGGTGGTGGCGGTAGCTGTTGTCCATGGAACTGTTGGTTGGGGTCCTTGTAGGGTTTCAGTAGCTGAACATGGAAAGCATTGTGAAGCTTCCACGTATCTGGTAAGCGCAAGCGGAATGTAACTGGTGTCATCTGTGCCTCAACGAGAAAAGGACCACAGAAGCGAGGCCGGAGCTTGGATGGGAGGTGAGACAGGTTAAAGTTGCGCGTGTCAAGAAGCACCTGATCTCCGACTGCTACTGTGTGATCACGTCGCTGACGATCGGCATACTGCTTCTGGGAGTTATGCATCGTGGTGAGACGTCGCTGAGTATTCTCCCATAGCTGCTGCTTGGTGGTGACGAAGTCATGTGCGGCTTGGTCGTGTGCCGGTGTGGTTGGCTGCTGGGGTGTGAGTAGTTCCCGTCCGTAACACAGGAAGAAAGGAGTTTTTCCTGTGCCCGCATGCGAGACGTTTTTGTAAGCGAACTCTAAGGTCGGTAACTGTATGTCCTAGTGGCTGATGTCGTCTTTGCAAGCTGTGCGCAGTAACTGTTCAACCACCTGATTGAGTCGCTCCGTCTGTCCGTCAGTCTGGGGATGGTATGCTGAAGACATCGCAAGCTTAGTCCCCAACAGTCCCATGAGCTCCTTCCAGAACTAACTAGTGAATTTTGGGTCTCTGTCTGAGATGAGTGTAGCGGGGATGCCGTGGATGGTGATGATGCGGTCGAAGAAGAGGCGAGCAATTGCTTCAGCCGTAGCCGTGGCGTTGGTCGGGATGAAATGTCCCATCTTAGAGAACTTGTCGATCACCACGAGTATAGCGTCATGCCCTCGTGAGGTCGAAGGAAGTCCTATGATGAAGTCGAGGCTAACGACTTGCCGTGGCTGCTCCGGTAAGGGGAGAGGCTGAAGTAACCTTGCTTTTTCTGCTTG